TGGCTGATCGTTAAAGCATTTAAGTCCATATATTGAAGGAAAAATAATTAAGAAACTGTATGCTATAAAAACACAATAGTAATCTGTCTTCACTAAATGAATTACCTGGTGGGAGAGAGAATTCCTATGACTAACACACATCACTTTACGTGTGTGTGTGTGTTGTTGAAATAATCACAATTCGTGTATATTATTATATATTTACGCTTGAGAGAAGGAAATTCATTTATCATGTAACATTAAGTTTATCATGGGGGAATTACAGTATTTCCTCTATCATGCTCAAAAAGATTTACTCCTGGGTAAAAATATTTTTATGTCCACTTTGAGGTAATGATCGTATTTACTTAATGTAGAAAGTATATGTGTACGTTTTATGTTAGTAGTTATGTGCGACTTTTGATCATTCACTCACTGTGTTTCGTCTGTAATCATCAAACAATATTTTCTAGTTATCCTTCTAAAGTTTTGATATATTGCCTGTTATCAGTCTCCATCCTCATACACACACAGGAAATTAGGAAAATTCTTAAGGGGGAGATCGACTTCGTTCTGCAGGTAAAAGGTATGTGTGTGTGAGAAGCTCTGTCCGTCGTCTAAGTAATTGGAATGTAAATGAATTGTTTGAGGAAAAGGTATGACGAGTTCTTATGGCCGCTAAAGACGCGCCCAAACACTGAATTCTTCTCGTGTAATTTTGGAGAATTAGTTTGTGAAGAACGTAAAGAATACATGAAAGAGCTTAGTTACTTACAGCTCCGACGCTTACACCCGACCACAAGCCATATTATTTACGTCTTTTGTTTGGGCTGTTGTGTTATTATTATTATTATTATTATTATTATTATTATTATTATTAATTATTATTATTATTACTCTTCATGTGTGATTTGGGAAAGACTGCAGAAATAACCGAGAGATAAAACTTTAACACACACACAATGCATCAATGAAACTCCCTGAGTGAAGACTGGCTCATCAGTGGAGTGTGTTGGAGGGTGCGTAGTGTTGTGAGGCTTAAAGGGAGGGGCGCTATAACTCAGCCTGCCACGGCGAGATGATGGATCGCCCCTCACGCCAGTGGCCAGGGTGCTAGTGCATGCGTGGGCCAGCCAGCCAGCCCCCGACAACACTGGAGGCAGCGTCGGGGTCTTTAGCGGCGAGTTCCGTGGCGGCGGGGTCCTTAGCGGTGAGTTTCGTGGCGGCGGGGTCTTTAGCGGCGAGTTCCGTGGCGGCGGGGTCCTTAGCGGCAGGATACGAGGTCCGTGGCGGCGGGGTCCGTAAAACTTCGGCTTATTCTCTCCCTTTACGGTTTTATGGGATATATTTCAATACGAATTGAACCAATAAAATATTGTGTTTACACCTCTGTCATCCCTTTCCTCTCCCTTTACATTCATCTACCCTTTTTCCCTTTTCCCCCTCCACTGCCACTTAACCCTTTAACCCAGGCCGACATGTACTACCTCCACTCCCTTACACATTCTTTTACTCACTCCTTCACAGCCGTCTCCTCACTTCCTCACAACCGTCTTCACCCCTCACACACCAGTCTCCTCACTCCTCACAGCCGTCTCCTCACTCCCCTCTGGCCGTCTCTTCACCCTCCTGGCCGTCCTCTTCCTCCTCATCGTCTCTTCACTCCCTCACAGCTTCCATCTCTTCACTCCCTCACAGCCGTCTCTTCACTCCCCTCACAGCCGTCTCTTCACCCCTCACAGCCGTCTCTTCACTCCCTCAAGCCGTCTCCTCACTTCCCTCATGCGTCTCTTCACTCCTCTGGCCGTCTCTTCACTCCCCTCACAGCCGTCTCCTCCTCCCCTCACAGCCGTCTCCTGCTCCTCACGGCCGTCTCTTCACCCCGTCACAACCGTCTGCTTCACTCCTCACAGCCGTCTCTTCACCCCCTCACAGCCGTCTCCTCCTCCCCTCACAGCCGTCTCTTCACTCCCTCACAGCCGTCTCTTCACCCCCCTCCCACAGCCACCTCTTCACTCCCTCACAGCCGTCTCCTCCTCCCCTCACAACCGTCTCTTCCTCCCCTCCCCAGCCGTCTCTTCCCCCCCTCTGGCCAATCTCTTCACTCCCCTCCCCACAGCCGTCTCCTCACTCCCCTCACAGCCGTCTCTTTCCTCCCTCCGCAGCCGTCTCTTCACCCCCTCACATGCGTCTCTTCCACTCCTCTGTGTCTCCTCCTCCCCTCACAGCCGTCTCTTCACCCCCTCACAGCCGTCTCTTCACTCCCTCACAGCCGTCTCCTCACAACCCTTATGACCAAGTGTAATTTTTATTAACGACTTAAGAACTAAGCCTGAAAATAGCGCCTAAAACCTCGCCAAAATTACAACAAAATCGCCAAATGTCCAAAAAAAAAAGGCAGAGAAAATCGCCAAAAGTGACAAAAAAAAAACTAAATTAAGAAACTCAAGAAAAAAATGACCAAAATATTCCAAAATAAATCAAGGAAGAAATCATCACACCCCGATCATTTCTGTTAAATTTTTAGATGAATTCAGGAATAATATTTGTTTTAAGAGTGTCTCAAAAGTTCACATCTCATCAAAAAATAATATTGCCTACTTCTCCTACGTAAAATAGTGAGTATAGTCCACCTGGCCATACACAGAGATAAATACCATAACAATTATAAAAAAAAAATAAAAAAAAAATAAAAATTAGATGATAATAGTGAATTGTTGCATACCTGTAATTACGAAGTTCGTCTATGGTTCGTCTTTGTTTTTGGTTTTTGTTTTTTTTTGGTTTTTGCTAAATGTATCATCGGAGTAATTGGGATAATCTTTTTTTTATTGTTGGAAGGTTTGATTGAGGTTCATGGATGGTTGCCGACATTATAGTGATTTTATAGGTAGATATATGTTATTACCTTAGAATCAATTACCTGTCGAATATTACCTGAGAATAAATTACCTGTTGAAGAATATTACCTGAGAATTAATTACCTGTCGAATATTTCCTGAGAATCAATTACCTGTCGAATATTACCTGAGAATTAATTGCCTGTCGAATATTTCCCAAAACTCATATAGCTTGACTAACTGACTGATTGACTAACTGGCTGGCTGACTGGTTGACTGGTTGTCCGTGTGTGTGTCTGTCTATCTGTGTCATCACCCGCGACACAATGGCGGCTGCTCAAACAGTTTAATTATGTACTTGACACACATATAAGTTCTTCATATTTACCTGCCTCACCTTGCGTAATGACCCAGGGACCTTACCTGGTGAAATAATACCAACTTAATCATAACTAACTTAATCTAAATCTAACTTAAACTGACCTAACCTAACCTAAAATTAAACCCGGGTGTGTGTGTGTGTGTGTGTGTGTGTGTGTGTGTGTGGTCTCTTGATACAAGCGAGAGCCTGGAAAAAACCATTAGTTTACCGATTCGATGTGGAAAATAAAACAGAATGATATAATCGACAGTATGTCTGGGTGTGTGTATGTACTGTATGTATGTATGTATGTATATATGTGTGTGTGTGTGTATGTGCTGTAGGTATGTGTGTCTAACCTTGCCACCCAATTCCACACAGAAGCAAAAGGTGGGTTAGATATATATATATATATATACCCAGATCAATATTTACTGTGGCTGGGAATAGAATCCACGAACCTCTCCCTCGTAATCACAACTTGTTCTGAAACACTAGACAGCCGAGGCGCTAACTCCAAACATACGGTATCAAACTCGAGGTAATAATGATTCGAACCCGTTGCTGAACCCTGTATTTAATATTAATCTATTATCTGGATATTGTCTCGATCCTCATTGGTATTCTACATTAGATATGACCCGTTGTTGCCTTTATTTTCTTCTTTTTTGTACACATCAGCGGTCTAACAAGCTGTGCCTTAGTATGATAGTAGTAAAATTTTTCAATTATTTTTCTCTCGCAGCTTGTAATTTGCAGCGATTTGTTTATGGTAGTGCCTTGATGAGGAGAACGGAATTTTTCAGAGTTCCTTCTTTAGTCAAGGAAGTGGGGGAGAGGTAAGATGGAGGGGCGATGGGAGGGGGAGGAGAGGGGGTGATGGGAGAGGGGGGAGTTAGTTTATACAGTTAGAGTGACAATAGATTTTTGTGTGTTTTTTTATCATGCAAGTTTAAGTTGTTTGCTTGTGTTATATTATTTGCATTCATTTGTTTTTATTTGGTCTTTTGTTGTATTATCTTCTTATGATATTTTCTGAACCTAAGGGGGTTTAAATCCAAGAAAGACTGTACCAGAACCTTTATCGAAGAGGTTCAAACCCTAATAAATATCTCCGTCCTTATTTGTTTGAGGAACTTCTTGTTGCATATGTACTGTGTTTAACTCTCCTCCTACCTCCCCAAACCATATCTTTCCACAGGTTATAACCAAAGCCGAGTTAGCGTGAGTGTTTATCCCTTTCCACAGGTTATAAGCAAAGCCGAGTTAGCGTGAGTGTTTATCCCTTTCCACAGGTTATAAGCAAAGCCGAGTTAGCGTGAGTGTTTATCATACCTGTGACTCATAAATGTTCTCACCTTACAACTTCATTACTCAATATATGTGTCGACTCGTCATGCGTCTGCGTAATAAAATCCAGCTTAAGTATTTTCAGTGGTCACGAGGGAGCCTTACCTTACCACCTCCTCCTCCTCCTCCTTCTTATTCTTCTTTCTTCTTCTTTCCTCCTTCGTCCTCCTCCTCCTCATCATCATCATCATCATCATCCTCATCTTCTGGAAGTTCTTTTACATACCTGAGATTCCGAAGTCCTAGAACGGGTCCTCGAACTCTTCCTTTACCCATAGATGGCGCTGTGGTATCTCATTTATATTCGATACAGTTTCGAACAAGAGTGTAAATAAACCTTTAGCTCGTGATTTATGCCTAACTATATATATATATATTACTACTACTGATATGTGTCTCATTTACTGATGTGTGTCTCATGTAGTTATTGATGTTTATGTAGTAACTTAAAATACCTTTCTCCTTCACAGAGTCAATCAGTATGGCTTCAAGTACCACCTCGAGACCCCTATATCAACCTCACAGCGACGAGAGGACGACCGGATTACCTACATCAACAAAGGCCAGTTCTACGGCATCACCATGGAGTATATCCCTGACCCTGAGAAGCCCCTCAAGTCAGGCACAGTTAAGGTACGTGTGAGTGGACCTGTTAGAGAGGGTGTGGCACTGTGGTGGGGTCGTGGTGTGTGCCAATGGTGACCTGTTAGAGCGTGTATGGGAGGGAACTTGTGGCACTGTCTTGGTAAGTGCCAGTAAACAGAGAGAAGCGTGTTGGAAGGAAGAAGCCTTTACATCACTTAATAGAAAATAATGAAGAGTTTACTGAGAGACGGAGGGAAAAGTTGTGTGTGTGTGTGTGGAGGACAGACTCAGCACCCACTCCCTCAACCCTGTACACGTAAAATCACTTATGGTTTTAGTATACCTCAGAAGTTACAAGACTCACACAGCCAAAAATAAAAACAAAAAAAAACTGACACTGCAACGTGATACTGGCGAAGAGACTGGGGGGAGGGGGACACAGGTGGTTTACGAGGCCAGGTAACTACACCTACCTTATCTACCTGTCAATTCCATTCTTAAGGCTAATCAACTCTCTACATATACATGTTTCTTATACACTTATCAGAATCAATTTAAATCCAGATATTTTGTTCGAAAGAAATCTGGTGTAGAATTATTATTATTATTATTATTATTATTATTATTATTATTATTATTATTATAGAACTGAAGCCAGATCCTAATATAGTGAGGAGGAGAATGGGGAGGAGGAGGTAACAGTGCCGATAGTGGGGGAAGAGGAGTAGCTAGTAATGACAATGGAGAGGAAGAAGAGAAGAAGAAACAGAAGGAGGAGGAGGAGGAGAAAAAGATCACTAAGAGGGAGGGTGACAGTGGCGGTGACGGAGGCGGTGACAGTGGCGGCTCAGGTGACGGGGCAGATCTCACGGGTATCATGGCCGGAAACTGGGTCTCGACTCCCTTGTGGTCGTGCGGCAACCCAACCTGTGATTGAATCAGGGTTTTTTTTTACCATGAGCGGCGGGGATTATGTGACTGTCGAAGTGTGTGTGTGTGTGTGTGTGTGTGTGTTTACATAAGGAAAGATAGTACCTCGACGACCACAAAGGCAGAATCCACTCTTATTCCGGGTCTGATGTGGTCTGATTGGTTCTTGTTTCCATTGACATATAATGGTCACCTTGCCATTACTCTTAACAGAAAATAACTCTCGATACATACGTACATACATACACACATACATACATACATACACTTACGTACACACACACACACACACCCGGACAGTTCCCACGAGTCTCACAGGTAAGGTTCCTTCAGTCTCCTTGGACTGGGTACGGCGCTGCTTCTTCTACTTACGTAATAATAATAATAATAACCCGCACTACCCCTTCATTATCGGTATATAAACAAGCTTTATTTATGGATATTCCCCATTAATGAAAATAAGCAATTTATCGCCATATAAAACTACACACACACATATATACACACTCAAAACACCCAAGCTCACAGAATATTTAACCAGAACTGAGACTCTGAGAAATGCTAGAAAAGTGTAGTCTCTAAAACACACGCTTGGCATCATGGGGAAGGGGAGAAAGGGAAAGTGGGGGAAAGGAAAATGGAGGGATGGTAAGGGGAGGGGAAATGGGAAGGAGAAAAGGAGGTGGGGTAGAAAGGGTGGGGAAAGGGGAGGGGGAAAGGGTGATCTCTAGGTGGACTAACAATGCCAGCCACACCTCTTCAGCATCAGTGATTGAGGTTAGTACCAGATTATAGCAGGGATTAGGTTCATAGGTTCTAGGAGTGCCTCTGGTCCTATCACACAGCAGCGGGAAGTTAAGGGCCTCTGCTACCACCTGACCAAGCTATAAACGCACCTCTTGAGAACCTGTGAGAAGATGGCTTGAATCTTGCTCGTACACACACACACACACACACACACACACACACACACACACACACACACACACACACTTCTTTCTTGATGCAGGTTGTTAGTTAGAAGTTTCATAAAGTTGGGTTGGGCTTGGGCTAGGGTTAGGAGTAGGCTTTGTAGGATTAAATGGGTTAGAATAAATTAGGTTAGTTTGTGTTACATCAGGTTGTATTAGGTAACGTTATGAGTTGAATTAGTTAAGTTAGGAATGGGCTAAGGTAGACTAATAAGTTAAGGATAGGTCAGGTTAAATTAGCTTCCTAGCTGACCAAAAAAAAAAAAGGAATTTTCTGCACAGAAACCAGAGGAACCAGCTAATTAGTGCAGGTGATGCAGGTAAGACCAACTCCGTGCTCCGCTTCAAGCCTTTATCTTACGGTAAGATTCTTTGGCTTACAATAAAAACCTGATTAGTGTACCAGAAAAGGATTTATACCCTCTCAAAATGACCCAGACTACACAAAAGACGTTCTCTCTCGGTGAACTTATACGTTTTATGAAGAATATGCAAATTTCACTCATTAAAACTAACAAAAGACTTTCTCATTTCCGTCGTGAGAAATTAATGTAACCTGTTTTGTCTTACGGTTTCTGCTGTGTTTCGATATTATTAGAAATTGGTTTTCCTGGTTGGTTTTTTTTTTGGTTTCTAAATGTGTGTTGGTGTTATCTCTTTTTACAAGTTCTCTAATGCATTCTCAGTCATTATGGCAGACATTCGTGCATCCTGACGTAAACTAATTGATGTTAGTTTTATCTTTTTTCATTTAATATAACATTTAAATAGAAATAATAAATTGAAGGAAAATTTTGTTTTGTCTGTGTAACGTAACTGAGTCTTAATGAGCTTTACCTGTAGGGCAGTAATAAGCGTCTCTACCCCTAAGCTTCGGAGTCTCAAAGATTCCAACTGTTAAATTCTTCCACTAACTGGTTTACTTACGCTACGACAAGATGGAGATCTAGATGGCATGAAAATTACTCAGAGACTTGACCGAAGCCAAATGTTAGTTGTCTTAGCTTCGTAGGTTAACCAAGTAGGTAAGGGATTCTCAAAGGTCCACACGTAAAATTTCCCCGCAATTGGAGAGTGACTTGAGCTGAAATACAAAAATATTCTCTAAAATGACATCAAAGTTAATCCGAGATGCGTTCTTGTAGCACCAGTGAATCCGGATTTAAGAACCCATTTTGTTTACATTCTCTGATACTTAGAGAGATCAGCCTTGTATTTACTTTACTGTTCTTATAAGAGATTCAGCTCATTGTTAACACGTTGATGGTTGTTTGAGTCTTGATTGTGTTGATTGTTGTATGTGTTTGTTTTGTTTGGGTATCTGTTGAGTTTGTTTACGTGTGTAGAGTATCATGGCATATGTACATTACTGTACGTATGCAGGTACACATTTCTATGCATGTATATATTTCACACGCAGATGTATACCAACACACACACACACACACACACACACACACACACACACACACACACACACACACACACACACACACACACACACACACACACACACACACACACACACACACACACACACACACACACACACACACACGTAAATAAATAAATAAACTCTACCTGACTGACTGAAGGGAATTACGACTTCCCATGACGCTAAGTAACATGTAACAAATAAATAAAATATATATTTTTCCTCCCGAGTAACAGATGAAAGAAGTAAATACAATTACTAATTAAGTAACAGATAACAGGTAAAAGAAGTAACACAATCTTTACTTACAACAGATTACAGGTGGAATAAGTAACACTTCACCTCGAATTAAAGAACGGGTAACAAAACAGAATCCGCTAAGTTGCGTCCACCTTTAACAATACGGACACCCCTTTATAAGACCAATAAAAGGATAGAGCAGGAAGATAAGCAACAATACCTCCCCAGACCGTAACGACCTCTCAGTGTCACACCCTGACCTCCTGACCTCGCTGGTGGCAGGTGACAACTCGGAGAGGGAGAATGTGAGGAAAGGTGAATGTTTTGGAGGTAGCAAGATTTGGAAGGTGAGGGGAGTTAAAAGGGAGAGATTTTCAGCTAAGGGTATTGTTTGGGAGGTTTGGTTAGGTTAGGTTTGGTTAGGGTTTGGTTAGGGTTTGGTTTGGTTAGGTTAGGTTAGGTTAGGTTAGGTTAGGTTAATGTTCAAAGGAGTGTAAGTATTTGCGAGACACCATCTTACTCTTACATAATGTCCCTCAAAACGTACACACACACATACACACACATACACACACACACACACGTACAGGATTTGAATAAAAGTTGTCTCAGGGAAATTATTGGAAATGGAGGAAAGGAAAATTAGAGAATGACGACGCCTTCTGCTCCCCTGCACGATCTGTGTCAGTGGTCTTGGCACACCTGAGAACACACCTGAATACACTTGGGAGAACACCTGAGCACAACTAGAAACACACCTGAACACAACTGGGAGCACACCTGAACACACCTGGGAGAAAACCTGAGTACAACTGGAAACACACCTGAACACTTAAAGAGAGAGAGAGAGAGAGAGAGAGAGAGAGAGAGAGAGAGAGAGAGAGAGAGAGAGAGAGAGAGAGGCAGCCTCCTACATCAGCCAGGTATCAATATATATCGGTGTCATGGAGGAGAGGAGAGGTTATTACCCCCTCTGACTAACACACACACACCCCCACACACACACACACACACACACACACACACACACACACACACACACACACACACACACACACACACACAAGGTTTAAGTAAGGTCGTCTCCATCACCTGGTTCACATAGCCTTATTAGGTAAGAGATATAAACAACGAGCCATTGAGGTGTAGTGTTTGTTATTATTGTGATTGGTGATTTGAATGCGTTATTTATTGTTATTATTGTTATTACTAGCAGTATTGTTTTTGTTGTTGTTGTTTTCATTGTTTTGTTGTTGGTTGTGTTGTTCTTTGTGTGGTGTTGTTATTATTATTATTATTATTATTTTAATTATTATTATTTTTATTAATATTTTTCACACTGTCGTCATCATTATTATCACCACTAATACACCCACCACTTGCGGAGCCTGACCGAGTAAGTCTTTAAAGTCTGACCGAATAAGCTTTGGAGTCCCGCTGAATCAGTCACAGGAGGGGTGTCTCTCTCTCTA